CAAAGGCTTCAAAGCCACCATTCTTGCTGAGAAGAACAATAGCATCGATTGACTCTGCAGTTTAATAGCCGCTCTACAAATCTCTGGTGCGACCACACCTCAAATGCGGCGTACACACATGGATGCCGAACCTCGTGAACCACCAAAAGGCTCGAGAGAACATCCGGAGATGATTAACTAGGCTTTTTCCTGACCTCAGGATGATGTCGTATTTGAAGCGCTTGAGACAGCTGAACTTGCTCTCTATCACACATACGAATGAGATATGACCTAATAAGGGTCTTCAAGGTACTGGAGGGTTTTAGCAGCCTTGCAGGAAACTCTGCACCCTAAGAGAACATCAGTTGAAACTGGTCAAACCTCGTGCATTGAGGAGGGAAAGTGCCAACTTTTCCTCTCATAGAGTGGTAAACGCCCGGAATAGACTATGAAACGAGATTGTCTCGGCGTCTATGCTTACCCTGTTCAAAAAAACGTTTAATGAAGAGTGGGACGTAACCTTCTCTGAATCAGCCTTGATGATAGTTACATCTTCAGATTTCGTAAATCCACCCTCCCACTGTCAAAACCTTTATTATAAGCAACATCATCCCCCATCTACATCAACTACCTTTCATCCTTCCTTTGTCTAACTCCACCTCCCCACACCTTCCCCTCTCCGCACTGGTTCACTTGTCTTCTTCTATCCTAACTGTGGTATTCGGAATAGTAATGAAATTAGAAAAACGAGAACTTGTACTGTACTGCTCAGAACTGAATTGGCTCTAACACGAACTGCGGAGACCAATGAAATACACGAGGAATTGATACCAGCAAATGCTTATATTTTTTGCTAGAATTAGAGCATGCTTCATAGCAGGAAATGTCTCATATGATTGGTTGAACGACCGTCCTCCAATCACGTAATCGTTTGCGCCGACGAATCACATGTGCTAACTCGGATGTCATGTTCACCCGGTGTGCCATTGATCGAGCTTCTTGAACGGTGATTGGTTGACATGAAACTGTGCATGGATTGCGGTCACGGAAGTCTGGATCACCAAAACTCTATTCCCTCAAGGGTGCCTCGTTAATCAGGCTTGCCTGATGGCTAGACCTGCGAACAGTGATCGTTGGCTCCGCCTGTGCCTGGTGGTGTCCTTGCGTTTCGATTGGTTGTGTCTGCAAATCTGACTCATGCGGCTCCGTCGGTTATGCTGACGGGATGTGCAACTGACTGTCACCCTCGCTTGTCTCTTGATGCCGCTGGTCCGTCGATGGTTTGAAGTGGATTTGGTCCACGTGTCGCTTGTACACAGTAGCATCATTCAAGTCGGTAATTTCCACCATGGCTTGACCCAGTTGTCGTGTGACTATACCACAGACGGGTCGCAAATCATTACCACGGAAGTATACGACGTTACTGAAGTCGAGGCACTGCAGGGAGGATCGCAAGCGTCTGGATTTAAAAAACGTTGCCGGGCTCTCCTTCGTGGTTGTATGTGTTCCGTTTCGGTATTGGAGTAGGAAGCTATCCACCAACATTTCCAACTCATGTAGCGTTTTAGGATTGACAGACGCAATTGCACTCTTGACAGTTTTGACTAGATTCTCTGCCGCTCCGTTCGAACAGGGGTGACGAGGCGCAGTTCGAAGATGTCGGCAACCGATGCTGTCTATCCAAAGCTCCATTTCGGTCGCACAGAATTGAGATCCATTGTCTGTCACAAGTAATTGTGGAATCTCTTCGCGACTAAAACATTTCCGTAGTACTTGTATCACAAATGATGTGGTAGGCGTAGTTGTAACAGCGGTTCAGAAATGGACCACAGAAATCAAAATGAACCCTTTGTCATGGTACATAACTTTCCGGCCATGGTGTCCAGTTTTTCGGTCTTCTTCGTAATTTATGTAAACATCACTCACAGTTCTTGGCTGTTGCGTAAATTTCTGTGTCCAACTCCGGTCACCAACACATCTGTCGAGCCAATGATTTCATCTTCTCCACCCCCATATGTCCTTTATGCAAGTTATCTACTACTGTCTCCCGTAGTGGCGATGGGATTACCAATCGATCGTCGCGACACAATACACCAGCCAATTGTACTGACAATTCCTCTCGGTGAGCGAAGAATTGGGGATGCTTCCTCTTTACCTCTGGTGACCAGCCTTTCTTGATCGCTGAGAGTGTGGCCGTGTAGTACTGTTTGTTAGATTTGCGTCAAGCTTCCCGAGACATTTGTGATCGTGGGGAGATGAAATGACAGTGTTCGGTCTCAGAAAATCGTGAGTAGCGAGCGAGGAAATCAGCCTGCGGGATTGTCTTTCCTGGACGATGTTGAATATCGTAGTTGTATGCGGCTAGAGCGATGGTCCACCCCTGTAGCGTAGCAGCAGTGGACTTCGCGATAGCTTTGTTGGGGTTGAACAAGAACTGTAGCGCTTGGTGATCAGCGATGATGGTAAACCACAATCCGAAAAGGTACCTGTGCAATCGTCAAACAGCCCAAAATACAGCCAACGCTTCTTTCTGAGTCTGTGAGTATCTCCTTTCAGCCGCATTGAGTAGACGTAAAATACAGATCACTGGGCATCCTTCTAGTTGTAATACAGCACCGATGCCGAGGTCGAACGCATCGGTGATGAGTGTAGTCGGTTTTGATGGTGAAAACGGGGCCAAGACAGGACGATAAGTAACACAGCGAATTAAACCGCGTAAGATGTCTTCACACTCCACCGACCAATCCCAAGCGTCTGAACAATGGGCACGGAAAAGCGGCTGCAGCCTTGTAGCAAAGTTCGGGATAAATCGGGAATAGTACTGCAGGCATCCTATCACGTATCTCAAATGCGTTTGATCCTTTGGAGATTCGATGTTAGTCAATGGTTTGAAACGTGTCGGATCGGGACGGTATCCACGGGAATCAACTGTGAATCCTAGAAACTCCAACTCACTCACAGCAAACACATATTTGGACGGTTTGTTGCAACGCTTCTGGCGGTAAATCATTCAAGTAGCTGCGTAAGATGGTCGTCGTGTTCCTTCCTCATAAGGCCGAAAATGACTACGTCATCTTGCTATGCAAGCACACCGTCGAGTCCTTTGATGACACTGTCTATTGCCGATTGAAAGAGGCCAGACGACACATGCAATCCGAATGGGAGAAAATTGTATTGGTACATTCTCCACGGCGTGTTGACTGTCGTCAATTAGTGAGATTCGACGTCGAGTGGAATCTGTATGTATGCGTACGCCGAATGGATCTTGGAAAAATACTAGTACCCATGCAATGACTTCATGAGATCCTCTGGTTCCATAGCGGTCGCTGCACATCTCTG